GAGTCACCACCTGCCTCCAACCGGTGCGCCCGCTATGATGATGATGATTACACTGGTGGTGTAGACGGCGTCCAGTGCTTCGCACGCTCGAGCAGTTACTTCTAGCGACGAAGATGGAAGAGTGCCTTTGTCTGAAGAGGCGATTAAGCGAGGGAATCAGTCCGTTCAGTCAGCCTCCCCGATTCCCGTTACACACACGCGCCACACTTCCACCAGACGGCGCTGGTCGGCCGTCGCCGCTTCCGGCTCCTCGAGGGTCGGAAGAGGAAGGGTTTCCGACCTTGTGGCTCTTCCGCGGCTGCCGACGACGGTGACCCCGATGACGTAAAGCACGTGACCTCTTTGTCGCGCCAGGCACGTGGTTCGGACAGCCTCCTTGCCATCGGCTCGCTGCATTTCTTTTTAATCTAACGCGCATATTTGCGCCGCCTTCGAAATCAGGTTATTTCAACAATGCGGCTCGCCAAACACGTATCGGAAGTAGGGCCGATCGCGTGAAGGAATGAGAGACGCCAAAATGGGCCGTCACGTGATAGAATAGAAGCAACTGAAGTCCGACCCGCCAGGGAACCGGTAGGCTTCAGTATCTGCCTCCGAAGCGTTCTCTTTGCGCCCTTTCGAAAATTCGACGCGTACGAAGCGAGGGCGGGGCAGTACTCGCAGCTTCTGGCCAGAAAAGATGGAGCCCCTCTAGAGCCTAGAAATCGCATCAGTGCACCCTGGAAAATCACTTACATTCTTTGTCAAAATGTGTAGTGCTAGATTTGACGAGGAAAAGACAGTGGGATTCGGCGCTCCTCATCTGTCTCGTCCTCGCCAAATGTAGCGCTACAACGTTTTAAATAAGAATGTGCCACAGCGTGTCTGTAAATTACGGTATGTCCTTAAAAACTATACTCCATTTCATAATTCAGCTGCAACGCTATGGAAGGAACGCGAGAAATTGGGTCAGCAAAACGTAAAACTCCGCACGTGCCGTGGTCACTCGTGCGACATCTCATTAGTGCCGTTGCACCCTCGCGTTTCTTTGTGCTGGCCTTTTGACGCGACTGGCGAGCAGAGAGATGTCGGGAGGGCGCAACTGAACGCGGGGGCCGAACGACCCTGTGGTGTCGTCCCTTACACAGACATGAGACAGAACACTGAGACAGAAAGTGAGACAGAAAGTCCAGGTGGACGTCATCGTGACGTACCCAGAGCAGGGAGCCTGTATGTTACGTCAAGAGAAAACTTAGCAACACATAACAAACGTTCAACGGCGTTTTTGTCTGTAGGACACATATCTTCAATTACTTCTCTTCGTAATAACGAAAGGAAAAAAGCAGTTACAGGTGGTAACATTGAACTATCTTTTTTTTGTTTTTTACGTACGCATCGACTGCAATAAGCCACGCTATGATGTGTGAAACGAAGTGTAGCTTTGGTTTCTTCTGTATCCTGACGTCACCACATGGTGCGAGCTTCTCGTCACGTGTTCGAGCAAGATATTGTGACGTTTAAATTAAAACGTGCATGGTAACTCCGCCCTGTGGCTCCTTTGGGCATAGAGTTTCCCTATATAGACTATAGGGAACTCTGGCGCTAGTGTCTACGGGAGCTGCAATGCACGGCGCTTCAGCGAGCTTGGGAATGATGGGTAGTACACACATTTGTCTAATATTCGCGCTCCTGGCCTGCTTCTGGCTCTGTGTGTGTTCGTGTGGCTTGGAGCTGTTTTCTCGTGAAACAAAAAATCAGCAAATGTTCAGCATGTGTGCTTCACTACCTTATTTCTTTAAAGCTTACCTTTTCAAATCAGGTCACGAAGTTCAAAAGGGCTCGCTTTTTTCTTTGAAACGAAACTATAGCCAGCAATAAACTAAGCCGCAAGTACGATTCGCCGCCCGCAAGTACAAAAACTATGCAAATGTGTCTACTACCCATCATCCCCATCGTCGCTGAATGAGCGCAGCGCCAGAGTCCCCTCTACTTAATTTTAGGAAACTCTATGCCTTTGGGGATGCGCAAGCGTCCATTCTGAATGTATGGGTGACGCACAAACGGCGTTCTGTCCTCTACGTGCGCGCGGCCAGCGGTTACACCGGCCCTTCGTTAGAGGGCCCTGCAGTAACTCTTCCGGTTCTATTAAAGTTCGCTGTCTGTCTGTCTGTCTGTCTGTCTGTCTGTCTGTCTGTCTGTCGTCTGTCTGTCTGTCTGTCTGTCTGTCTGTCTGTCTGTCTGTCTGTCTGTCTGTCTGTCTGTCTGTCTGTCGGTCCTGTCTGTCTGTCCTGTCTGTCTGACGTAATCACAACTAGCCAGACCTGCTGAGTGAAGGTATAGGAATCAGTACTGTCGCCTCACGTGAAGCTAGTCTCGAGTTTGCCATGGTATAAGTAACTTTTCAGCGTCCCGTCTAGCACGGTTGTCGAGTGCTCGAGACAGTGGAGAGCATACTACTCTAATGTCTCTCCTACCGTGACGAAGGACAGCTGTTTGAACGTGAATGGACATGATTTGCCACGACCAGTTAACGTTGCGCAACACATTTGGCCCAGCGCACGGACCTTCAAAATAGCCTTGCGTCGTACTGTGTTCGAGTCAATTACCTGCCCGAAATCGGCCTTGTTGGAAGACTTTATTGGTAGAATACCTCACATAGGAAAACTCTTTATTTACCTAATACACTGATTGTAAATAGTTTTATCAGGTCCACTTGGTCACTTCATATTTTTTAGGTATTTGTTTTTCATATTTGTCTTCCCGCTCTTCTGAAGTCTTTTAGTCCCCATCCCTATAAAGAGCATATTATGCCAGCGACATACAGACGCCGGCAAGAATCTGTCTTTCTGTTAACTAGTTTGTCTCACTCTGTCATACTTACACACAGCAAAATGACGGGCATCCGAGAGCTTTGCACAACATTGATTGATCGATATGTGGGGTTTAACGTCCCAAAACCACTATATGATTATGAGAGACGCCGTAGTGGAGGGCTCCGGAAATTTCGACCACCTGGGGTTCTTTAACGTGTACCCAAATCTGAGTACACGGGCCTACAACATTTCCGCCTCCATCGGAAATGCAGCCGCCGCAGTCGGGAATCGAACCCGCGACCTGCGGGTCAGCTTTGCACAACATTACGAGCATCAAATATCTCATTGCAAAAAAACAAAGAAACAGTGGTTCAAATAGAGATAACTTTCTTTTCAATCAGCAACCACTGAATGAACTAAAAACTGGACAATAAAAGCTAAACAGATGATTTTAAAGGGACACCGGTCCGGCTGATACTCATTGTAGAGGTGTGATCGTTGTGGACAACGTCCGCAGCCTTTCGGTACTAACCAATCGGCGATGCCAAGCAGCGCTTATCGTTGGGTGGTGTACATGGTAAAAAACGGGAGCAGGTAGAAGAGAAGAAAACACAATATAAAATTGGCCGTGTTTTTCGCTCTCGTGGCAGCGTACCAGCAATTTTTAGGTGGCACTGCTGTGTGCTCCTTATGACCGACAATTAGGGGGGAGTGTGAAAGTGAGTGAAAGCGACAGCGAGTTCAGTTCTTCATTTGCAGGTGGCTGTCCCGACAACGTAGGTGTCAAGTCGTTTTCTCAGTTGGAACCGATGTCACGAAGAGCAAGAATAAAACCAGCGAAAACATTGTCGGCGTTGGGTGTTTTGCTAACACCGTGCTCGTCTGTGAACGCAGTGTGTAACAACAGAATAAAATACAAATATGGACAAAACGGACAGAGGTCGGTTGCTCGATTCCTCAGTCGGCTATCTTGCTTCTGTTGCGACAACTTGCGAATGCAGCTAAACTATAAAGTTTTATCGTTTTTTTTTTTTCGAGGGAAATATTTCTCTGCAGTGTGATCAGTCAGGAAAAAGCGCAAGAAGCGAGGATATGAAAATTAAGGATATGAAGGTTAAGGTATGAAAACGCAAAGAAAAAAAAACTAGTATTCGAAGGCGCTATATCAAAAGCGTCAAGAGCCCCGATTACGTGAGATATTGGAGTCATACAGCATTGACGCCATGGTCACTAATTCTAGACTAGCAGACTCGTGAGTCGACTCAGTCGAACTCACTCATACTCAGATTGAGCCGTGAGTCTCAGTCTGAGCGAGTTTGAGGGAGCAATGTTTTGGCGAGTTTGAATCCGAGTGAGTCAGTCCGGCTCAGAAAAGTTTTGCCGCGTCTTGAGCCTGAGTGAGTCCTTAGCGCAAAATACATTTCATGGGTGAGCCTGCAGTGAGCTCCACTATAGTTTTTCCTACATGTGCCGATATCCACCACTGCATCTGCATGTAGACACCTGCACACACAATTATTCTGGTAACATTATTAAGCAACCATAGTTGCTAAGTCAACAGACCGCGGAAACCGCGGTGCGCTATCCGCAACCAAGGCATCAGCAGACACCAAAACCAAGGCCAACGGAAAACGAAAAGGAAGGAAACAGCTTCGCTAAACTCGCATCGATGAAACCAAAAAAAAAAGAAGAAATTTTTGCCGCTGATGGGTTGGAAAGCCATGTTCACGCGTTAATCGTGCGATATTTTGTTTTTGTTTTCTTTATAACTGCACGAACAACTGCGGCATCGATGTACCGTAGCTTTGCGTGCTTACGTGTACCATTTTTAAACCCTGTTGGGCGAGCCAGCCCCACAATTCTCACTTGTAGGCATGCATTTTTTTTTTTGTGGGCGCAGTTTTATGTCATAACAGTACCGATACAAAGTTTACCGTAACCACGAAAGACAGAAACAGTCCAACGAAACAGTGGGAGTGTTATTCGGAATACATAGGTAAGCTGTTGGAAACACTTATTGTATGGTTAATGTACTCTATTGATTCGGCGTTACGATAAAAATGAAGGCCTAGATTGTTTGTTCCATGCCTTTGTTCAAGAGTGTGTCATTCGAATTACATGCACAGAAACACGTCAGAAACTATTCAGAGCATCTATCAGTGGTATGCCCTGAAAATGACGTTTATTATAACTTCTTTCTGTTTACAGTTCCGGGAGGTGTGCAAAGACCTGCTGAATAACGACGATGACGACTATTACTGCCTCCGGTGGCTAAGAGGTGAGACAACACGCATAAGTGACTGTCGTCGTAGCAATATTAACTAGTTACGCTATATATGCAATCGCTTGTAAAAGTTGTTAAAGAAAAAAACATGTCCGCCATCCGATCGCGAAGGACCCTTAAAGGGGCCCTGCTACACTTTTACGGCATGGCCAGAAAACGCTGTTGAATAAAAAGTGGTCTCGATTGAAAAAAAAAGAGAAAATATGGCAAAAAAAACGCTGCGTTAGAGTATAGACTATCTTTCGTAAGACGTGTGGGCACCACCATCTTCGGCTGTTAAGCCAACGTTTTTTTCGTATATCGCGGCGCGAATGAATAAGGTCAGGAGACATCGTACACACCAACCAAACCGTTTTCATGCGCTTGCGTCTACCTCTACACTGTTCATTTAGCTGTTGAAGATGCAAAACACAAACGTTGACAGTCCAATATCGCGGCACTCAAACTCATCCGTAAAATAGTTTGTAGCATACGATGGACAGCCAACATCGTACTCTTTCCACACATGCACTTAGTCATACGTAAGCATAGTGCTGGCTGGTAAACATTATGAGGAAATAAGCGCATCACTAACTAAAACAGACGCCGCTTAGTAATGCTATCTAGTTTTCTTACACGTTAACGGATGCCAGGGCTGCTCACGCTTCCAACGCCAGGCTTTTTATTCTCATACGCCTCTTTCATATCTTTTCCCGTGTAGCACGTGTAGCCGAGGTCATTGTGCTGTTTGTAGCCACCAGCCTTCGGCGTACGCTAATACGCGAAATTCCCAATCTTGGCACAACGACGCAAGGATGCCGCGACGGTGCCCTCCGGCTTCTCCGGATGTACACGCATTGAACAGGCGTGCCGTGTCGCATTGATGGTCTTCCCGCGCAGCTGGGCCTGACGATATATATATATATGAGATCTAACAGACAGTAATGCCAAGGGAATGTACAGGGGAAGTTATTAGAACCAATGGAATGTAAATAAGAAGAAAGAAGAAAGAAAAGTGGATGAAAAAATTACCAGCCGTGAGAATGAATCGAACCTACGACCTTCGATTATCGCGTTCGATGCTCTAACCACTGATCTATCACAGCGGCCATCCATCGATCCACTTTTTTGGGGTTTATATGTGAATTTAGAAGTAGGAGTGACAGTCAGCGCCTTCTATAAGCCGAGCGACGAGTGTGAAAACACTCTTATTCGCATGTTTGGCGTCACGTAGCACGTGAACTTATTATGAGCGGGCAGCTGATTAATTGTCCTTCTATACAACCTAAACACACCACGTCTGCCAGTACGAGACCCTCATTCAATGAAATAAGGGATTCGAAGGTCGTAGGTTCGATTCCTGCTCACGGCTGGTTATTTTTTCATCCACTTTTCTTTCTTCTTATTTACATTCCATTGGTTCTAATAACTTCCCCTACATTCCTTGGCATTACTGTCTGTTAGATCTCATTAATATTGTTAATATTGTGTTAAAACACGAAAAAACGAGCCCTTAGGTATACACTTCTTTCTCATATATATATATATATATATATATATATATATATATATATATATATATATATATATATATATATATATATATATATATATATATATATATATATATATATATATATATATATATATATATATATATATATATTATATTGCTTTTCCTGCGTCTCCACCCGATCTAATTTGTTAGTGTCGATCCCATCTTGTGTCTTCATTAATGTATGCGCCTCACTCCCCCCCTTCCTCCATTTTATGAGCGCTGTACTTATGAACACTTAGTGTTAAACAAATGAAATTAAACAAGAAACGGAAACTTTGCTGCTTTGCATCAACATCGACCCAAACATTCGGCAGCATAATGCGATGAGGGGCCTGCGATTCCTGGTTGCTGTGCCCAAACTTCGATGGGGGCGTAATGTTCTACTGGCGGGAGAGGATGGGAGAGTGGTCTGAAAACAGGAGAAAAGAATAGGAAACTGAGCCCCACAACTAACTGCAGCTAAGTGTGACACCCCAGCAGTAGCTCACGAGGGAATGGGATAAGAAGGGATCAAAAGGGATAGAGTCAGAAGTAAATATCGAGAAAAGAAAAATATTGGGGCACGGTCGATCGAGTCCGAGGACGGGGCACCGCTCGGCGAGAGTTACTGGTTTCGGGAGTTCGCGGACGGTGGTCCAATCGGCGAGAGCTGCGCTGACGCCTAGGAGACCGCGGACGACACAACAGTTCAGCACGGAATCCACCAAGCGAGTTCCCAATAATGTACTGGTTCCTTCTGCACTTATATTCATTGTAAAGAATTCGCTCGAAAAAGAGCCGGATTCCTCTTACGGCATGTGCCGAAGAACACGCATCGAGCGCTTGGTCCACGACAATGAGGAACTCGAGTAGGCGGTCAATCATTCCCGTCAAAACGTTTAGCGCCGTCGGGAAATATGATGGTGTAGCAAATCGTACACTTCGCGCCCGTAGTACAAATGTGCGCTGGACATGGCGCCGTGCGTGGCTGATGAAGGAACGGGGAAACGCGGTCGCTGCTTGGGACGATCCGCAGCCAAGCGCGTCCAAACGACAACACGAAACGCGGATGTCACAAGGATCGCGTGCGCACATCGAGTGGCGCGCGTCCGAATCGCTTTTGTTTTGAAGGCAACCAGATTCACTCAGCGTGTCGACTGTTCCGTGCAGCAGTGACTCTTCGTACGTAGGGCAAGAGCACTCCGTGTTGTGCTGATTGCAGGGCCGCGAGTGGAGTCGCAATTGTAAGAGCGAAAGGTACACCATGGGCTTTATAAACTTAAACAGGTGTACGGCAACGACGAACTGCACAAAGAGATTTAGGGTGTTTTCTTTTTTCGTTGTTGAAACTTGTTTGTACGCTTGACGTCAGTGAAATGAATGACCCCTGACCCCTGATCGTGCAGCGGGTGGCGAGATGGCGGGAGCACCTGTCACTGTCTTACAGAAGCCCATATGTCGAGCGCGCCCTTCTATATGGTTTAGTTTCCCGGTACACCCGTTTGGTGCGCAGCACGTTGCGCTGATCTATGAAAGTCGGAGCAACGGCACAAAGGTTGCCTCCGTAACTTTCCAGTAAAATACGATGGTGACGTCACCGTGACGAGGCGGGGCCGAGCGCAGCCAAGTAGCAGGGATGGGACGGGGTACGTCACGTGTGAACGTGAATAGTCTAGAGGTACGCACGTGCCTGTTACGGTACTGACATGATTTGCCCGCAAATAATACACACACAAAGTAAAGAAACACTCAACGACAAGCACAAGCGGCGTTGAGTATTTCTTTACTTTGTGTGTGTATTATTTGCGGCCAAATCATGTCAGTAAGCAAGTACCAACTAAGCCAAATATCAGTAATGTTACGGTAACTTGAAGAACTCACGCAACGTGAACCACGCGCCCTCCGTTTAGTGCATGCTATCCATAGCTCCGCAATGCGCCTCTATACTCGACGAATAAATATCCCGCGCTACATCGCTTGCCTCACCTTCCTACTCCAACGTGCAGGAGGAAGTTGGAGCGTGTGAGTGGTTTATCCCGATTGCCTGTTTGTTTCGTAAACAAAAACAACGTCATTTCGTGAGAGCGGCGCGAAATTATGGCGGTGAAATAAAAATTGTTGAACAGAAAATGTCACTAGAGCGTACGCTTCTACGAGAAGGCTTGTGTATAGGTTTGTCAGAAAGGAAAGTGGCAACTGCCTTCCTTCGCAGCGTGTTTATGTACGCCTTCCACACTTTCACCCAACCTAACCTCGAAAATGTAGTAGAAAAGTAAACTCGTCCCCCAAAAAAGGAAAAACAAAGAGAAAAACATTAAGCCATCTTCGCACTAGTGGAGCCAAGCCTCAAGAGTGGAGCTGAGCGGCCTGCATCGTTTCTTTATATTTTTCTGATATCTGTACTCTTTTTAAATGCGAAGCATTTCTTAGCGAATTTCGCCGACATTGAGCGTATCTATCTATCTATCTATCTATCTATCTATCTATCTATCTATCTATCTATCTATCTATCTATCTATCTATCTATCTATCTATCTATATATCTATCTATCTATCTATCTATCTACCTATCTATCTATCTATCTATCTAGCTGCCTACGACTTCTAGCTCACCTGGCCGTTTCGATAATGGTATCGATACCAAACTTGGTATGGCATAACATGACCGTATGAAGAACATATTTGTCTAGTCATAACAAGAAAATCACATGTATGTCATAAATGCCATGATTTACATTTCATGTTCTTGCAGCTGTTGCGGTGGTTTCGTTCGCATGGCATGTTGCATAACTGATGTGATATGACATTATTGCATGCCGAACACAAGCAACAGACCCTAACATTAAATTCATGACATGCGTGTCATGTAACAACATGGCTACATGCCACGCTCATGATGCACTCGCGGCCTTTTCACTAGCGTCACATATACCAAACTTGGTATTATGGGACGTGAATCGATGACGAAGGTATGATATTGGTACAATCATGATAAACATGAGATGCGTGTCACGTAACAACATGCCTACGTGCTACGCTCATGATGCGCTCGCGGCCGTTTCGCTATAGCTTCACATGTACCAAACTCGGTATTACGCGACACGAACGGAGGACATAGGTAAATGACACATCCAAACGTGATAATCATGACATGCGAGTCGTGTAACAATATGACTACATGCCTCACTCATGATGCGCTCGCGGCCGTTTCGCTAGCTTCACATATGCCAAATTTGGTATTACATGACGTCAATGAATAACAAAGGTATGTGACTGGTGCAAACATGATAATCATGAGATGCGTGTCATGTGAGAACATGACTACATGCCACAGTCAAGGCGTCAACACATTTCGACGTGATGCGGTGCGCGTGCTCGCCGGCGTTCATTTTGTCGCGTCACGCCGGCATTGCCACGCCAAGCGCCGGTCCTATCGTATACTCGCAGGCGCGCGCCGCATTGCGTTGCTTTGATGCAT